CGACTGAACAATCGAGAACTCGTTCGAGAGTCGTGTGTTTGAAAGTGCTGTTGCGCTCCACGCACCACTTGCCGATGCTGGAATTGTTCTGTGCGGAGTTTTTGTTCAAGGAGCTCCGGGGAAATGATTTGTGTCATGTATCGGAACATTTACTTGCAGAATCAATATGTCCGAGAAGTTCCCATGGAGACTCTGTCCTGCATGCTCTTCGATCATCCCCAAACGTGCCGAAGTGTATTTTTGGTCGGATTGCTGGGCAGGAATCTTGGGGATTCACCCGGCGAGTGCCACAAGCACACAAACCTTAGAAGCACTTCACAGCTGCAACAACACCAGGCAGGGGCAGCCCCCAGACAACATCCTCAGTGTTGTTCAAGGCTTGTATCGTGGGTGATGGCGAACGTGGATGCGGGAAGATGAAGGCGGGGAAAACGCCCTCCGCGGCTGAAGCATTGCAAAGGCTTTGGCAGCGGCAAATTTCCTCCCCCGCCTTCGCAGCGTGGTCCTTAGGTAAAGGAAATTCTTAAATCTTAAATCTAATAATCTTCAAAACACTGCAAGATGAATGCCAAACGAAGGGCAAGGTCAAAGGCCAACCTCCTTCCATGTGTGGACTGGATGTGTGTGTTTTTCTTTTTGTGGCTGCTTTAAGCTAAAGGAGGTGTGCCAACTCAGTGCAGGTAGATACAATCAAGCCCTCTCTCTCCCTCTCTTCCTGTCGCTTTGTCAGACTTGTTTTCTCTCGAATTTTCCATTGTGTCGATTGGCAGTCATCGCTTTGCATCCCCACTTGGCATAGCATTTGAAGCGGTCACGGCAGAAAGGAAACGAACTTGCTTTCAGGATTTCAGTGGCATGTTTCAGCATTCTGGTGGCTACCATGTTTTGCAATCCCTTGTGCTGACTCGCTGGTAAGCCAAGCGTTGTATCCCTGAGGACAAATCTAAGATTCACACACCGCAACGCAAAGCCAGAAACTGCAAATATATATATATATATATACTTATATGTATATATATATATCTTTTAAATGGAAACTCAGAACTTCGCGTCGAAGGCGTTCCAAATATCAATATTACAGCCCATTTCCAAACGCGCCCCAAAAAGACTTTGAGCAAGGCGGAGTGCAACTTTTTCTCGAGTTCACGAATTGTTTTTGGCATGGCCTTCAAGGCTTTCCACACGAGTCCACTCAAGTTACATACTCATTTGTTGTGTCTCGTTCATTTCCTTATTTTGTCTATTACCTCACACAGACTTGAAGGTAAAGGGTATGCTAAGCTTCACACGCGCAAATAAATCAGATCGAAAGAGAGGAGAAAAGAAGCGTGCAAGGGCATGCAAAGGGCATGCCAAGGGCATGGGAAATTCAGCTTGCAAAGTATTGAAAGAACCTTGCGCGATAGGTTTTGCCCGTACACGCTGCGCAATGGGTCCTGCCAGTCGCAGTTTGACAGGGTTGAGCCAAGAAACAACTGACAGGTTTAAACAATACCCGTATGTGACCAGGTGGAAAAATAACCAAGCAGGGCTGAATTCCCGCAATTCGTTGCAGAATCACAGGACTAGTTGGGCTATTCAACGCATCCTCTCTGTTCTATCAATCTATGGAAACAATCCGAAGTTCACATTCACGACTATTCTCAAATGAAATCCGATGTCCTTTTTGGAGACAAAGTACAGTACATAGTCTATCTCTGGGATGTGTTCTATGTGAGGACCAGCATGCTTGGCCTGCTACAGCAAGAGCTGGCAGAGCCGCTGCATGGTGCGGCCAAGCGCAGCAAGGTTGGATATATATATATAGTTTAATTGTTTGTATTAAACATGATTCAAAGTCGCCAAACTGTTCCTTTCTTCGTCGCCACATTTGACACCATTTCCATTATAGTTGGTCAGAGTTGGTTCAACTTTGGTTTAGAAGTTCAACAAAGCCGGTGCCCGCCGGTGCCATGAATAGATTCCGACTGAACATCGAACTGGCCTGGCCCGGGGAGACGATCTTCCTTGCGCAGAGTCAGTGAGTCAGAGTGTACCGCCGTTGGGTTCCGCCCATCTTCGAACGTGTTCGGTGATGCAGGTGCCTGAAACATGGCTGCCACCTGCAGATGCTTCCACCGGTCCGGACCAAGAGGGGGCAACCTGTTCGCATGGGGGCTCATGTTGAGACAATGGAAAGACACTTGGTAGGATCACATTTGGGTTATGCCTACTGTTCAACCTGGCGATTTGCAGGGGTCACCACATGGGGTGGCCCAGGTGTCCTAGAGCGATCCGAGCTGGGCGTGGAGGCTCGAGATGCCACGTGTCACTTCCACAAGGGCCAACAGTGGTGAAATGCACATCGGATGAAGCCGGGTTCGTCTCCACATGAAGGTACTCGCAGCGCAGAGGTGTTCATTTACGTTGTTGCTTGCTATGTGCTGCGCACGGTGACTTTCTACTCTCAAACCTCCACTCGTGCGCCAGGCCACTGCAGAGGTCCGACGTTGGCTGCTGGGGCAGACCTCCGGGCTGCAGTGCTCGCAGGTACGCGTCGCTGGAAGAAGCAAAACAGGGAGACAAAGAGAGACTCTCCCAACTAACTCAACCAACATTTTTGGGTTGGCGCCTTTGGGCTTTGCAGCTTGATACCTATGTGAGACCATATTCATCATCCAATCTCATCCATATTGCACCAAGTGATGGATCCATCTCCTCAGGTGATCTTGGATCGGGCCCTCACAGTCCTCTCCAACTTCAAGTTGGCAAGCCAGGGTGACCCAGCTACGAAAAACATTTATGCGAGTCTCGTCTCTACGAGTTCGGGACGTGATAGGTAGTCTGTGGTTCGGTGATAGTCTGAAGTGGAATGTATATAGTGGTCCACTGGAAAGCTCTCAAGCCAGTGGTCCACTGGCCCATGTATCACTGAGATGCAAGTGCTGACCTTTCACACTTTGAATTAACGCTAGACTTGAGCTGATGGGAAAGGGCACATTTGGGGTCTTTGAGGCGGTTGTGAATTGGAAGTCCTTGGAGGCCGCATTTGTACCGCAGTTGTATGCGGAATGCTGTAATTCAACGTCTTCCGTCTTTTGAAGGAGAACCTTTCTCTTTCTACCAGTGGAAAAGGTGTTCCTCAGCTTTAGAAGTTTAGGGGTCTCAGGACGCTTTTCTGCGGCATCAAAAGGTCAACTCTTGCCACCCTGCAACATCTTCACCGGGCCAGGGCCGCTAGGAGCCTTGGTTGGCGGCTACAGCGATGCAGAGTGGCTCTACGATGAGGCTGCGGAGGGGCGACGAAATGGCTGGGTCATACAGTTTATGGCTAAAGTCCAGAATCGCCACTATAGCTCACTATAGAATGTAAGGATACCCAATCACTTCCTTCCAACATCACCGGCTTCACCTGGTGGACGGGCGTCGGTCGACCGTCGATGAAGGTCTTCCGGCAACACCCGGTGGATGCCCTGCGGGACTCCTTCGCCTTCTTGGGCTTCAAGCCACGCCATGAGGGCGACTGGTGGGGACCCCAGCTTGAGCAGGACAGATGTGGCAAGGTGGGAGATGGGGAGTGTCTGTGAAGGCTTGTATTCAGCACAGGTGTTGGGTCCCGCTCCAAAGCCGGAGACACGGTGGATCTCCGTGGTGCTTTTGGTCGATCTCCGAGGTCTTCCACTTCGGTGGAGGAGATCTCATTGGTGTATCGACGGATGTGCTTACGTGGGCATCCCAGTCGTGGAGGGTCGCCCAAGGACTACCTGAAGCTCCAGGCATCTGAAGGAAGGAGACAGCTGGAAGGGAGCTGGAAGGGTGCTGGTCACATCTATGCGGCAAATCCATTTTTCGGCACAAGAGGAGGGTTGTTGGGGGACCTTAAGTGGAGAAAGAAGCGACCTCATTCATTCGACTAGAAATATCCATGGGTCACATCGTTTGTTTGTGGCCCTTGGACAAACCGTCAGGAATCCAGTCCATGCCCCTCCTGAGTGCTCTTGACTAAATCTCCAAGAGCAAAACATAAACCACCACTTGAGATTTAAGCCAAGAGTTTAGAAGGGGTTCAACATGGGTAAACACTTATTATCCTTTTCTACTTCTACTTGAGCTAGAACTGGGCCTGCCCAGCGTCACCCTGAGCTCCCCGGCAGGTCGCGATGGAGCTCATCAAAGCCTTCTGCGGAGATGCCGGGCCACTGGAGGCCGGCGATGTCCTCTTGCGAATGGATGCGACCCGAAAAGTTAAGGGGCTAGACTGACTATACCCAGTGAGATTGTTTCCAAATGTTGTGTTGCTTGCTTTCTGCTATGCTTTTACAGTTTATTTACATCGGCGTTCGAACACACCAAGGTGGAAGAGCCACAGCATGAAGGCCATTGGGGAGGTGCAGGTGGTTCGGCTAGAGCAATCTTCCTGGGTACGCATATTCCACTTCACAAGCTTTACTCACAGTTGTTCTGGCAATTTATGTATATATATATATATAGAGGTGAGCATCATCCAGACAGCGGTTCATCATTGGTTGGTTCACCACAGGACATCTTGCAGTCGTTTGCCTGCCCCACAGAGTTTTTGTGGAACCAGAATAAGTCAAACATGACTTTTGCGTGGGTATGCGTGGGTTTGGACTTCTCGCTTTGTATTGATATACTTCTCTCTTTTCTGCACTTGTTATTGGGAACTTGGAGTGGGAAGGCAAGCAGATTTCCTGCGACCTAAAGATCATCTCGGGGTTGAAAATCCAGAGCTGGTGTGGATCCTGCTGTTGATGGAAACACTCCTACTCTACTTGGGACACCAAAAGCAGCATGAATACATCAACTAACAACCATGAATTACGGCGGTTTTCCTGACCTTGGGTCATGCAGGATGCCTTGGTTCCCCGCCAGGCAGGATGGTCCCCAGCAGCCGTCTGGTGGAGAAGGCCTCTGAAGGGCACTTTGCTGGGCCACCCAGGGAGACAAGTTTGGGTGGAAGTGGAGCGTTGACCCAGTCGATTTCGCTCACGTCCGGGACGGGATTTCCGCGTCGTGAGAGGAGCATTGCGAAGTATGCCTGACTTTGGCGACAGATGACTAAAGTTTTTTTGGTGTTTTCGTTGTGGGTTTTCCTCATTCGAGACGCACTCAATTGGCTTATGCAAGGCCTCCAGGGTTGAAGCGCCGTTGTAACTGGCGGAGTGCATGTAGGGAAAAAGAGCGACCAACACACCATATTTGCGACCCTTTGTAGAAGGTTCGACCAACACACCGATGTCTTTTTCGGGACAAAAACATGAGCACTCTCCACACCCAGCAGAGGCCATCCCCCAAACAACCTTTCCCCCAGTCCTCCCAATGCACTCAGCCTGTTCAGTGCGCCGTGCACGTGGACCTCGATGAGGTCCTGAGCGACTTGACCTTGGCGCACGAGCTTGAGCTCAGCAGTAAGGAGGCGGAGGATGAGGCTAACCACCTCAGCACGGAGCACCTGGAGGAGGGAAAATGGGTGAAGGTCACGGTGGCGCAGACGATCCCCTTTTTGTTACTTTGTGTGATTTTAGAGAAAATGTAAATATCTATTTATATATATATATACCTTGAGTTCTTGTGTTGAAGAAAGCACGCGCACACACACACACACACTTAGATGGTTGCTCGCAAGAGCTAGGATCAGTATGAAGTCCCACTTTAGACGAGTACATTACCCGATGCATTGTAGACCTTGACTTGAATCAACTGTAAAAAGTGCTGGGTCGGAAGATTTGAATAATTGAACACGGGTGAAACAATGAGGATGTTAAACAGTTGGCGGAAAGGGGATGGCCACCAGCTGCGGCTTACAATGCGCCCAGGTGCACCAAGCAGGTACGTTTTCCTGATCATCCAGTGTGGAGCTTCGTTGGCAGAGGCCACAGCTGGACATCCCTCTGCCCCCTGCTGCTGTATAGTAGGGAAGTGTGGAGACAGTCCAGAAGTAAAAAGATCAAAGCAGTCGTAAAGTGGAGATTGAGAAATCCTTAGAGACAGGCAAGACACACACAGATGGCCGTGGTCGGCGCTCTCTGTGGGGGACAAAACGGTTCAAGGAAAACCTCAAAAGTGAAGAAGCTCGGAGTGCGGACTTTTTCGTAGTGCTTGCCGACAGCTGTGAAGATCGTGTCCTTTTTGGACATATAGGTCTGCTAGTTGAGCGAGCGCTCGCTCGACAGCCGAGGACGGGTAGGTGTACTTGCGGATGAGATGTGCTCTGGAGTGAAAACCTGAAAGTCGTAAGCGTGTGGAGCCAGCTGAGGCGTGATCGCGAATTTTCCATGAAGCATCGGGTGGCGCGTAGGTGATAGTCCGTTGGTGAAGGTCCACATCAAAGCCCAGAAGGTGCATGTCCTCCACTGGTTCGAGCTCCACTGGGTTGCCATAGAAGTCTGGGTGAGTGAGGGTCTGGATGGCGAGGTGGGTGAGGAATGTCCGGTTGAAGGCGATGAAGCGGTTGTCCACGTAGCGGTAGTAGACAAAGTGGATCTCGGTGTGGTCCGTCAAGGAGTGGTGGAGCTGATACCATGAGTGCTCGATGAGTGTGATAGGGACATTGCACAGCGCAGGAGAGAGCTGGGAGCCAATCCCGGCTCCGCGAACCTGCAGGAAGTATAGATTGCAAGCCTTAAAAATGCAAGAATCAAGAGCTAGTGCTACGATAGTGGTGATGTCGCTAATGTCCAGTGTACGTTGTGTTGGATGTTTGCGATGATGGCGGCCGATGTGGGCTAGTTGGATTGGATCGCCGGTTGTGTGGATGTCTGACGGTGATGGTAGGAGTGTCAAAGGTATGTTGCCAGCGGTTGACCAAGCTTTGAACCGCGTCGACTAAGCGGTCTTGAGGGACGGAGTTGAAGAAACCCACAAGGTCATCGTTCACAGCGTAGAGGTCCACATGATCTGGAGTGTGATGAAGGTAGTCGTGGAAGTGGTGCCATAGTTGTGGTATCGAGAGCTGTCCTGGTGATTGGGGTAGGAGCTGGTGAATCACAGCTTTAAGGACATTGGATGTGACGCGCAGCAAGGGCCCGTAGTAGGACTTGAAGTAGGAGATGATAGTACGACCTTTCTTCCATTGTTTCTTGGCCTTCAGGTGAACGACTCTATAGGGCATGTTGAAGTTGGTGATGAAGCCCCATTTGGATTTTTTGCGCAAGTGTGCGGGGTAGGTCTGTTGTATGATGCTAGAAATGGTCTGGTCGGTATCGTCTAGCAATGGTTGGAAAAGTTCTGGTGATTGCCATGTGGCCAAACAGCCACGAAAGTAAACGCGGGGGCAGAAAACGCGGAGATGTTGCAGTTCGTGATCAGCATGGTGAAGGACGACGGTGTCGCTCAAAAATTCTTGTAGTTGTTTGATGGATCTGGCGGTGAATCTGTCTTCGTGTTGTAGGTGATGCAGGTGGTTGGTCCATTGTGTGGTGAGAAAAGAGTCGGCATGGTGGGCCAAGGTGGTGGGTAGTCCGTGGTGTCGCAGCCATTTGGTGAGGCTACGTCCAAAGGTGTCCCAATAGCGGCGCTTGGTGGGGAAGAAAGTGCTGTTCATGTTTTCAGGAAGCGACGGAGATGGGCGGGGAGCTGCAGATCGGCCAGGGTGACAATCAAGTGTTCATCTGGAGAGAAGGTATGGTCTGGCAAGAGGAGGCCGCGAAGGTGATTGCAGCCACACGGGAGCTGGTCGGCTTGGGAAGGGTGCCCAATCAATGTGATCTTCCCATCGGCGGTGGTTGTGGAGACGGCTGCGTAGAGTGGGATGTGCTGCTTCTCGTAGACGGCGTGTAGGAAGGTGGAGGGGGATGGCAAAGTGTTTGTGCTGGTTGATGATAGTGGCGAGCCATCTTTGGGTGTCGGCGTGGAAGTTGGTGTGGGCTAGGAACGGTATGGTCAAAGGGAGATTGCTCTTGGGTGGTGTGAGATTGCGAGAGCTCAATGCTTGGTTGATAAGGTGAGTGGCGCGGCTACGTCCTGGTTCTTCAAGGCTGGTGGCCATACGACGGATGGCATAGACTTCAAGGTCACTGTATTTGCCGGAGCGGAGTTGGCGTGCAGCTTCAAAAGAAGCGTGGGTGTGTTTGGTGAGGTCGCGAAGCGCAGTAAGTGCATGTAGCTTGTGTGAAGTGTATAGGATGGGTTGGTTAGTGGAGTGCAAGCGGCGGCGTAGTCGTCGAAAAAGTCTGAAGTGGTTGGCGAGCCGAGGGAAAAAATATGCTCGGTCTGCTGAACTGCCAACCTTCAGCCTTGAGTTTCAGGTGCTGTGAGATGTAAGGCCAGTTAAGTGTGGGATGCCATTGAGAGATGTAGAGGTGTTCATGGATCCAGGCCTGGTCCAAATCCGGGTATGTCGCAATGTGAATGGTGGAAAAGTGGGTAATGGTGTTGGTGGTGTGCCAGTAGCGGAGGGATAGTTCTGCGGAAATGGGTGTGTTCTTGGCCAGTTGTTTGAGTTTGGCTCGCCGGTTGTGTTCTTGGCCTGGGATGCCGATGGCGGTGGAGCCCACGTAGCAATGGCCGTGCTGGTGATAGCGCCGTTGGGTGTCATGAGAGTTGAAATAAAGTTTGACGTAGACTGAGTTGGGGGCAAGAAACTGGGAAAAGGTGTAATGGTCGGGGTGAATCCTGAGTTGGCGAAAGCGGAACGCCATTGTTTGGAACGAAAGGTAGAGGAGGGGAAGTAGAATAAGGCGGCCAGGTGGAGCAATCCTATGGCATAAATGGCTTCAGCGCGATCAATGTAGCTAGCATGGTGTTGGATGTGGGCTAAGGCTTTGTGTAATGTGCGTATATGGTGAAGCATGGTGTGAGTGGGTCCTCGGCTGCTAAGTCAACAAGCCATGGCGGCCCCAATGGCCACCAGTTGCTATGCCATAGCGGACTGCAGCTTCTTGGAGTTGGGCTTGGGTAGGGCCGGATGATTGAAGGAGTTTGAGGATCTCATTGGCGGAGTCCTGGATGGCCTCATCGAATTGCTTGGTCCAGGTGTTGATGTATTGGGCGTTCCATTTAGTAGGAACGTCGTCCTTTAACGATGGGTGATCGGGTTGAAGCGCCTGGGCTAGGGTCAGTGGTTCGGAATCTGCCGGGGGCGTGGGTGCTGGCGTGGCCGGCGCTGCAGGGGCGGGGGCGGCCAGGGGGAGCCTCTCGTGAGGAGATGTGAGCCGGGGCGTCGAGGAGGTGGACGCTGTGGTGAGAGATGTAAGCCATGTGCCTGTAGTTTTTCTTTGGCTCGCTGAAGTTCGGCTTCTCTGGTATGTAGCCGGATGGCATCGGTCGTCTTGGAGGGAGGGGTGTTTCCGGCAGTACGGTGCAGGGCTTCGGCTGTGGCATCCAAGTCAATGTGCTGTTCACGGACGTGCTGAATCAAGTGAGTCAAGAAGACAGATTCAGCAATAGATCGAGTGGGAACCAAGCTGGTGAACTTGCCATTCGACAAAGAGCGAGCGGTGTAATCGGAGGTGCCGTGGTAAGCCAGCAACCAGGGGAAGACCTGGAAAGTGGGGAGTCCTGCAAGTTGACGATTGCGGCTCCATGCCGAGGGTTGAGTGCGCTTGTATAGAGCTTTTGTCCCCCCGACTCGTTGACGTCCCAGTGATCAGCGGTCTGCTTCCAAGCTTCGGGGATGGGGCGGTGATGGTGAGGAACTCTGAGCCTGGCGCGGTGGAGTGAGGTGGACCAGGAGCCAGCGTGGCTGGCAGAATTCTTGGAAGCGGTGGTGGGCCGCTGGCGAATGGAGGTCTTGGTGTGGTGTGGGAACGGTGACATTGATAGACGGTGGACGAGAGGCCGGGGCCTTGGCCTTGGTGGGCGTGGCTGCTGGGGGAATCGTGGGATTGGATGTTGTGGAAGTACCACCAAAGGTTGGGGTGGTATCCGTGGTGCCGGCGGGTGGGGTTGGTGCTGAAGCGACGTCCGGAGACGCGCTGAGTGGGGTGGTAAGTGGTGGTGGTGAGGTTATCGGCGGGGATGTGGCAGGAACGGCAGGTACAATGGGTGTTGCCGATGAGGGATTATTCGCATGGTGAGCTGGTACTGCCTGAGAACGCTCAATAGGGCAGCCTGTGGGTACAGCAGTCTGTGGGGAGCTGGTGGCCAAATGGGTGAGTGGGGTGGTGGTGTAACCAGCATGGCTGGTAAACTCCAAGTTGGAGTGGGGTCGGGCTGTTGAAAGGGATGCATCTGAGTCGAAGCGGGAATGGAGTGGAGCGTAGGTGGGAGCTGAACGAGGTGGGCAGTAGGCATAGATCCCATCTGAGGTGGCAAACCGGTAGGCGTCGAAGTCGAGGTGTACTGAAGAGGTGAGTGGCTCATATGTGGTTGAAGCTGAGGAACTTGAACTTGCATTGTTGGCATCGATCCATAAGGGGCCGAAGGAGCCATCAGTGATGCAGCCTGGCCAAGAGGTCCGTAGGGCGCCGTGGTACTCGTCATCGGTGAAGCGTGAGGGATTGACTGGTAGTTCATGGCGCCCCGGTGAAAGGCAAGCAGAACAATGTAGTGGACATGTTCGACCTATACATGTATGTGCCCGGCCTTGATTACCTAGCTGAATGAATGTGATATGTACATGTGTGAGATTCCAAACTGGAGTTGATCTCAGTGAGCCCTGCGGCATAGTATCAGTGGTATCATGCAGCACAGCGGATCAAAGGGAATCAAGAGAAGTCCAGGAGTGCAAACAGAGCATTCAGGGTGGGCCCCCCCAGGATCTGGGTCTGTGCACACGCAGCGCCCCTTGACGGGGATCACACCACAGCCCTCACGGGACTCTGTGGCGATACACACTTAGATGGTTGCTCGCAAGAGCTTGGATCAGAATGAAGTCCCCCTTGACTTCATGAACAGAAATAAGCACAAACCGAAAGGTGGTGGAGTCGGCGAACTTGTAGATGTTTAACAAAGTTTGGAAACGCATTAGCCGCTTACTGCAAAACACTGTAGTGGACAGCTTATTCAACAGTTCAAACAGCTAACTGATTGGCGTCCCAATCTGCTTCACGGAGTAGCCACAGCTGTCTTCGTTGGCAGCAGAACTGTGGACTCCCTGCTGCCCCCCTGCTGCTGTATAGTAGGGAATTGTTGAAAACAGTCCAAAAGTAAAAGGATCAAAACAGTCGTAAAGTGGAGATTGAGAAATCCTTAGAGACAGGCGTTGACACACACACACACACTTGAGAAAATGCATGCTTATTTGAAAGCGGTTGCCACACGCCGGCCTAAGTGAAAACCTAAGAATCCAGGTAAATTGAAACCTGAAAGGAAACGACCAAATTCTTCAAAAGCCAGTTCTTCAAAAGCCAAAGTACAAACTCGACGAAGAATCGAACGGCGAGCACTTGTTTGCAGACCTGTCATCACCTGAACAGCCTGGCTGCTAGAGGAGAGCATAGTTACTAAACGCCACACACTTCAGCAGGTACACGGAGGTGATCAATCTCCGGTTCCCCCCATCGTGGAATAGCTTCGTTGGCACAGGTATCCGCGATGGGCCTGTGCCCCCCTGCTGAAATTGGTGAAAAAACAAAGCCGAAGAACAATCCAAAAGGATCCCTGTGACTCCAACTGTTACACACATCATACACACACACACATACATTGACCTAGCTTCTGACATAGCTGCCGCGAAGAAGGCTGTTGCATATACAAACTTCAGCGTGACTTACATGCAAGCCATTGCGATAGAGTAGCTGGTGGAACTCCGAGCTTGGAAGAACATTTTCGGAGTAACTGGTGGCAGGAGCTGAACCGGGCATTGGACGAGTACATTTTGAGGCGTGCCTTTTGATGTCACTCATTGATGCCCTTGACAAAGAACGAAGAACCCCCATGACGCCCGTTCGCTTGCCCCTTCAGGCAGATGTGTTTCAAGAGCGAGATCGTGGATGAAATCGCACGCCTTCACGAGGAGAGGGCTATGGGGGTTGAGAGATGTGTTGGAACCTCCCCTGCACGCACTTGAGAGGTTCGGGGCATTTCGCAACCCAAAAGTGGCTGCCTCCATGTCTTTGTTGCGATCTCCATGTCTTTGTTGGTTTCAACACACATCTGAAACAACTTTAGTGGATGCACGACTCGACGGATTCGAACAGCCTTGCCGAGGACTCGGCCTATGCGATTCTGGGCGTCTCCTCGAGCGCTACAGATGCTGAGATCAAGAAGGTGAGGAATGCTACGAACGGAGCAAAGGGCATCGCTGCTAGTAACAAGGGCATACTACTAGTATCAAGAATGCTACTAGTAGCTCCTGGCATTACTACTAGGAACAAGAAGCTACTCGGAACAAGGGCATAGGTACCTCTGAACGAGGTCTGAAACAAACCATGGATGGCAGACGAGACATCCCACGAATCGGCTGTTTTGACCACAATCCTGTTGGTGGTGCAGTATTTGGACCCAAATCCTGTATGAAGATGCGGCAAGAGCTATTGGGCAGTTTTCGTTTGGTGTGAACTTTGTGAACTACTTGTCTACAGGGCTTTGAGGATTTTTGAGGCATCATATGGCACTCCCAGTCTCTTGGACTTCAAGCCCCGCAAGAAAGCTATTACTTATATAGAGGATAAAGACTCAGACGATCTTATATAAGGTGTTCGGAATGAGGACGTTTGACCCTCTACCAGCAGATTCACAAAGACAATTATCAACGATGGGGATGCTTTGGGTATCCTGGATCAACATTTTGCAGCAGCAAAGCAAAGATCACAGAAAATACAGAACATCTCCTTTTCATTTGGTCTTTTCAAGATTCCGACCCTTGCGTGTACTCCTCCCTACTTCTCCCTTGCGTGGAGCAAGAGGCCTATCGACTCATTGCGATGCAGTGCCATCCAGACAAAGGTGGTGATAAGGAGGATTTCCAGGTGGGGAAGCGTTCGTAATGCGTTCGTTGTGGTGATGCTGATAATCTTCTGGTCACGGATTTTACTAGGAACAAGAAGCTACTAGGGGCTCCCGGCATCGCTACTAGGAGCAAGGACGCTACTAGGAGCAACTTCTCGGGATGTTGGACGTTTACAGTTCATTTCGCCTGGTTCTCTCGAAAGTACCTGAATTTGGGACGCCTCCATTCTGTATAGTGCACCATGGTGGGATCTCGCTAGCGCCGGAGTTCTTCCATCAAAGGATCTGAGCCTGATTTTGAGTGATCCGAGCCTATTGATGTTCATGTCGGCCACCACAGGAGCTGACAAATGCCTACGAAAAGATCATGGAGCAACGCCGTGGCAACGACGAGAAGAGCTTCAAGGAGATTTCACCTGATTCACATGGTCAGGTGGAAACAATTGGAGTGGCCAGAGACCTGAGATTGGGCCAGAGATCACGATCTGAGTCTTGAACGAAAGGGCGTTGAGTCCCTGAAGGTTTCTGTTCATAAATTGATTGTGGATGGCGCACCAGAGGTTTGGGGCCCAGCATATCTGCAGGACCGACGCTCCACTGACAGCGATACCGAGGACCGCTCAATAACCTGCAGACAAGGACAAGGCTCAATCAATTTAAAAAATCACCATCAGGCCAGAAAGCAGTCGGATTATATAAGGGCTTCAAAGCAAGCAGCATCAGGTTTGCGGGCTAAACATGAAAAACATCACCCAATCACCAACCCCGCGGCTGCCTTTCTAGCAGGACACACCGCCTCCCAAGAAAGAGCATGAAGGGAAGAAGGCTTGGGCCAAATGTGGAGCTTCATGTTGTGATGTAGCGTTCACACAACAGCAGCAAGACATTTCATGGAAAGAGAACAAGCCTTTGGCAAATTTCCCTGGTTTAGGATTCTCATGAACACGAGTAGAAATATGTGTTCATGTCTTCTTTACACCTCTTCAGAAAGGGTACTGTAGGTTGGGTTGGCCAATTCTTCAGCTGGTTCCAAGCATCCGGCGGTTTGGAGGCAGACAGCACTGGCGAGGAGCGGCGAGTTCTGTGCAAGAAACTCTGGGGCTGGAAAGCCGGAGGTCATCTCTGCGTTCACGCAGAAGTGGATTGAGTCATTGCTCTATCCCCAAGTCTTCTCCCAATTAAAGTCATGAATGGAACATGTCGTCCTTTTAGAGCTTAGCCTGCTGGGTTCGTTTAGCCTGCAGAACCTCTCAGTTCTGATGTCCTGCGGACGGCAACAGACGTGACAGCACGATACGATGACGAGTTGTTTTCTGGGCTTCGGTGCCAAACTTCTGTCATTGTCAACAAAACTACCCAGCTAGCTACGTCGCAGGAAGAGAAAGAGAAAAAGAAAGAGCAGGAGATGCCGTTGGAGCTGCTTTACTGATTGTCAATCTAGATTGGTGAGAAGAAGTCCTGAATGAGGATTACGGGAAGGAACTTGCAAACAGGTCTGAACATCGCTGGGCGCAAGATTGGAGAACCTGTTCCAAGTTGTATGGACTTGCTCAGCTTATTGCCATGTCAGAAAACCCTTTGGCTTGTGGCAGCGTGACTCATGCAAGTAATTAGCGAGCAACGGAAAATCGGACCTGGGACGGAACACAGAGGAATGAGTTGAATTTGTCTGTGAAAGATCCGTTGCTTGATCCAGGTCCCGTCAAAAGGGATCAAAAGGGTACGGTTGCAGATAGTCTACTTTGATTCGAAGCAAACTAAGCACAGTCTTTCTTCACAATACTTTGCTTTTCTCAAGAGAACTCACTCAGCTCCAATGATGAAAGACCCGAAGCTGGAACATCCAACCAACTCCACAAACATCCCAAAGCTCAGTCCTTTACATCCATTTACCCTTTCACTTTGAGGAGTTCGAGGGAGACGGCAAGGGAGGCAATCCACAGGACTGGAAAGGGCCCTCTTCGTTGTGAAGTGCTGGTGGAGCAATGAAGGGAGTGCGATCACCGAAGTCGATTCCAAGCGCAGCGGGTTTCCCAGGGCGCCGCGGGCGCAGGGGTGAAAGCGGATTGAAGCTTGGGAGAGGATGCCACTTCCAAGCTTTGGGGCCCTTTCTAACGTTAGTCACAAGGCAGAGAAACCGCATGTCGCTATTTTAATCAAGTAGAAATGCCAATGACTTGCTATATCCGTTCTCATGTTAGAGCAGAACTTGAGAAGGTGGGTTGTTCATGCAGTCTACAACTCGCTCTTCGAAAAAGAGGCCGCTGTTCGACTTGCCCGACTTGCCCTCTAATTCCAGCAACCATTGCCATACCATTGTCGCATCCGAACAATCTTTCTTGGAACACCTTTTTTGGGGGCTTTGCGCCCTGATGGTGCTCACCCTCACGGCGCCTGTTGCAATGTTGGAAAAGCGAGTGTGCCAATGATGTATTTTTCGTTCTTTTCCATTTCCAAATGTGACTGTTGAACGTTTCCTTGCAGGACAATGCAACCCTTCTGGAAAAGGCCAGCAAGGCGCGGCCAAGCCGGCGAAAGGTCGTGACTTCGGCCGTTGCGACCCATTGGATGTCCCATTTGGTATGCAGATTGCTTTGACGCTGGATCAACAGAGTATCTGCTTTTTGCATGTTCAGGGTCTTTATGGTTTCAAGGCCGCCGAAGAAGCCTCCCGCTACGCCAAGACGGCCGCCGAGTTTGCGCATCAGGCCAGGCGGAGACCAGGCAGACCAGGGAGACGAAGATCAGATAGGTTGAAGGGTAGTTCTAACTTGCACATGCGGCATGATGGAAAGAAAGGTGGGAAGATATAATAGATATGCTGCTGCTGCTGCCGCCGCCGCTGCCGCTGCCGATGATAATGATAATGCTGGTGATGCATTTTGCTATCAAGAGCAGACGAGATGACCAAATCATGTGCTTGGCTTCAGGAACTTGTTGCAAAGTTGGAGACCCCATGCTTTCCAGGATTGGATGTAGCTCCAATGGGCTCACTAGCTTTGGCTGAAGCTGGATGCCATTGGACTCATGACTCACATACGCTTTTGTAGATCTCAGCCGAGAAGTATTGAAATTTCAAGGTGTTTGTGCTTCCACGGCTAACAATCAGGCTGCTGAAGCTGCGGAGGCTGCACGGAAGGACCAGGACCAGGGGCCAGCTTGATGGGGCGTTGGATGAAGACCTACAACCCAACAATGGTTTACCTGGGTTTCTTCTATGGTTCTAGGTTTGTTCCCACATTCATGATGTGTAGCATTTCAATTAGAGCCAGCACTCGCCTTGGAGTTGTGTGAGGGCGCAACTCCCAGGAGCGTGAAAGCCGTGAGGCCCTCACGAAGTCAGCGTGGATGCCAAGATTGAGAATCAAGTGCTGGGGCAGAAGAAGTCTTCACTGAAGTAGCCCGTTTCTAACTGGGCCTTGTCTTTTGTCAGGTGCTGCCGTAGATGCTCCAAAAGTCGCCAGTTGCGCAGTTGCGCACTCGATTCAGGTGGCCCACTCTGCGATCGTGTACACGCTCACCGTAGTCAAGGTGGGATGAACTTGTGGCCTGAGAAGTCCAACTCTTCACAAGTCACAGATCCATCGCAGGTGGTACAATGTTTTGGATTTCGGATGCATAGAACATCCAGCACTCACCTGTTTGAACTGCGTGTCCACTACTATTAGGTTGGAAGCCTGTTCCTAGAGAATCTGGGTGAGTCCGGATGAATCCACCGATGAGGCCGTGCGCGCCGTGGGCTATGCGACCTTGGACGTGGCCGCACAGTGCCGGGCAGCTGCCAAGTCGGGGAGCCGTTGGGAGCACGGCCGGACGGAGGTGGCACGGCGGGATGGCACGGCGGGATGGCACGGCTTGCCAGAGCTCTTTGGTATTTTTTGGGATGGCGTCCTCTTGCTCCTAGTATCTTCTTGCTACTAGTAGCGATGCCAGGAGCCCCTAGTAGCTTCTTGTTCCTAGTAGTAAGGCCAGGAGCCCCTAGTAGCGTCCTTGCTCCTAGTCGCGTCCATCTTTTGGGATGGCGTCTCCAGACAAAGCAAGATTTTTCACCGCACAACCCCGTCGAAGCAGCCGCCCAACCCGTGACGTTCAGTCGAAGAATTGCGATGACCCCAAGAAGTGCATGGAAAAGAGACATGAGAGTTGTTAAGCCGCTTACTAACGAACTAATTGGCACACCCAGAGGAATCTAAGATCGCATCAAGCGAGACATTCTTTGCCACTATAGTACAGTATCGGTTACGCGCCTTGTTTTGGAATGTGGTCCGGTCAGAAAGGTTTGCTGTGTTCCTGCAACTTTCGCTGGTTTCGAAAGTCAAGCTTGGTCTCTTGAGGCCATACCGGACTGGTACTGTACAGTGGAATTGCATGATTAATAGGGTGCTAAGGAAGTGTTATGATGACCCCAGCGGATGCGCCTAAGCAAAAATGGGCAAAATTGGAAAAATAGA